TATATGCTCCAGACCCCTAATCATTTTTGTTGCCCTCCGCAACAAAGTGGTTGCTCTCACAGCAAAGCAGTGTAAAAGGCACCCCAAGTTGGAGAATGGATGGGACACAGCTGTTCAGCAGTCCAGATTGCACCCTGGGTAATGTCACATCAATAATTTTAACAATTGAACAGAAGTGTTTCCTTCCAGGGAATGTCACCAATTTCTAGTTTCTTTAATAATGTTATGATAATATTAGGGCTGTCAAGCGATTACAAAAATTAATCGTGATTAATCGCGCTGTTAAACAACAATAGAATACCATTTATTTTAAATATTTTTGGAGGTTTTCTACATTTTCAAATATATTGATTTCAATTACAACACAGAATACAAAGTGTACAGTGCTCACTTTATATTTATTTTTAGTACAAATATTTGCACTGTAAAAAAACCAAACAAAAATATTTTTCAATTCATCTAATACAAGTACTGTAGTGCAATCTCTTTATCATGAAAGTTGACTTACAAATGTAGAATTATGTATAAAAAAACTGCATTCAAAAATAAAACAATGTAAAACTTTAGAGCCTAGAAGTCCACTCAGTCCTTGGTCAGACAATCACTCAGACAAACAAGGTTGGTTACAATTTGCAGGAGATAATGCTGCCTGCTTCTTGTTTACAATGTCACCTGAAAGTGAGAACAGGCGTTCACATGGCACTGTTGTAGCCGGCGTTGCAAGATATTTACATGCCAGATGCGCTAAAGATTCATATGTCCCTTCATGATTCAACCACCATTCCTCCATGCTGATGATGGGTTCTACGCTCCAAAGCAGTACAGACTGACATGTTCATTTTCATCATCTGAGTCAGATGCCACCAGCAGAAGCTTGATTTTCTTTTTTGGTGGTTTGGGTTCTGTAGTTTCCACATCAGAGTGTTGCTCTTTAAGACTTCTGAAGGCATGCTCCACACCTCGTCCCTCTCAGATTTTGGATGGCACTTCGGATTCTTAAACCTTTGGTTAAGTGCTGTAGCTATTTTTAGAAATCTCACATCAGTACCTTCTTTGCATTTTGTCAAATCTGCAGTGAAAGTGTTCTTAAAACGAACATGTGCTGGGTCATCATCCGAGACTGCTATAACAACATGAAATATATGCAGAATGTGGGTAAAACAGAGCAGGAGACATACAATTCTCCCCCCAAGGAGGACAGTCACCAATTTAATTGACTCATTTTTTAACGTGCATCATCGGCATGGAAGTATGTCTTCTGGAATAGTGGCCGAAGCATGAAGGGGCATACGAATGTTTAGCATATCTGGCATATAAATACCTTGCAAAGCCGGCTACAAGAGTGCCATGCGAACGCCTGTTCTCGCTTTCAGGTGACATTGTAAATAAGAAGCAAGCAGCAGTATCTCCCGTTAATGTAAACAAACTTTTTGTCTTAGCAATTGGCAGAATAAGTAGGACTGAGTGGACGTGTAGGCTCTAAAGTTTTATACTGTTTTGGTTTTGAGTGCAGTTATGTAACAAAAAAAATCTGCATTTGGAAGTTACACTTCAGTACTTGCATGAGGTGAACTGAAAAATACTATTCTTTTGTTCATCATTTTACAGTGCATATATTTGTAATAAAAATCATAATAGAAAGTGAACACTGTGCACTTTCTATTCTGTGTTGTAACTGACATCAATATTGAAAATGTAGAAAATCATCCAAAATATTTAATAAATTGTAATTGGTATTCTATTGTTATAAGTGCGATTAATCACAATTAATTTTTTTGAGTTAATCGCATGAGTTAACTGCAATTAATTGACAGCCCTAGATAATATTATTTACCCCTTCGTATAACACAAAAACTAGGGTCATCCAATGAAATTATTGGTTTAATACAAACAGCAGGTTTAATACAAACAAGAGGAAGTACTCTAGCATACAATTAACCTGCGGAACTCATTGCCATGAGATGTTGTGATGGCCAAAGTATAAATGGGTTCAAAAAAGAACTAGGTAAATTTATGGCTATTAGCCAATATAGTCAGAGATGCAACTCCTGCTGCAGGTGTCCCTAAACCTCTGACTGCCAGAAGCCAGGAGGGGAAGACAGAGGTGGATCACTCCAACTGCCTTGTTCTGTACACTCCCTCTGAAGCTCTAGTAGTGTCGGAGACAAGACTTGTCTGCTACTTGTCTGGTACTGTCAGAGACAGGATACCGGGTTAGATGGACCATTGGTCTGAGCCGGGATGGCAGTTCTTATGTTCTTATACACTCAAACTGCAAACTGAAAGAATGGGAATTAACCTCCCCTTGGACTCCATCTTCAATTCCTTAGATTCTCTAGGGATAATTATATCTATTGAAAAAAGAACAGGAGTACTTGTGGCACCTTAGAGACTAACAAATTTTAAGGTGCCACAAGTACTCCTGTTCTTTTTGCGGATACAGACTAACACGGCTGCTACTCTGAAATATATCTATCGAGACAACGTGAAAAGAATATGAGGTTTGGACATGAGCACATACCTGAGGGAGTGATCCAGCGTCATACCCGTGAAATCAAAAAACTTCAGGTATTCTTCAGCCACAAGTTTGCTGAACTCATTGCTTAAAAAAAAAAACCAAAACGTTTATTATTAAAAATCAAACTTCAAGCTGCTCTTATTATTGTGCAGAATCGACCATACAAATGACAGTTCATGAAAAGCCGTGTGTCGACACATACTTTTTACCCAGGTGCTTTGCCACATCAGAGCGCTTGAATCGGTCCAGTTGGTAGAGGCGCTTAGCCAGCCTCCTGGCTGCTTCCAAATTGCTGTCCGTGCCATTGCTGAGATCTTTACTACGGTTTTCAGTGCCATCTTTCTCCAGGAGCTCCTTGCTACCCATGGCAGCGGTGGAGTCGAACAGCGAGTTTTTCAGTCCAGCATTGCTATGTGATAAAAGGAATGTGAAGGGGAGAAAAAAAGAATAAAGACCTCATGAACATTTTCAAGAAAGCTTTATTTTCCAACTGGCAGGAAGGTGATTAATTGGCAAGCTTGCAAGATACGATAAACTCCACTCAGCTAAAGAACTGTTGAGAACTGACATATTTGTTTAGTAAAATCCTGTGTTTTGTGGTTTGTACTGACTTTTCATAACACATGTAACTGTGCATAGCAGGGGCTTGACACGAACTAATGCATCAAAAAGAGTTGCCAAAATGAGCTACTTGTAAATTGTGGAAAATTATCTCAGAGCAACTCATCTGCAATCCTATGGTGAGCAAATTGGGATTTACAATGGCTCTCTCAAGTTATCTACTCATCTTCCCAGGCTGCCCTATTACCAGACCTTGGTTCTGCTCCCAGACCCAGACTGGCCTCCCAGTGCGCAGGAGCTCCTGCAGATCGCAGCAGAGTTCATACCAGCCTCATTGCTCCTGCTGCGCTAGCAAGGGCTACCGCAGGTCCTGTGAATTTTAGAAGGTGCAGAGGGAGGCAAAAGTGGGAAGGGGAGCAGGAATCAAGATAAGGGGTCTGAGGTGCAGAGGAAGCCGCACTGAAGTGGGGAGTTGACTCACAAAGGCTGGCTGGAGACTGCAAGAAGCAGAGACCATGTGGAGCATCTACATTTTACAGCTTTCCCTGTTCCTGGTACTTTGTGGCTCCGGGGCTCTACACCACTGGGTCCAAGCACCTTGTGAAGCTTAGGGGATCCACTGGTTATGCTGCCCCTGCCTATCCTGAATCTCCCCTCAGACATGCAGCCAACAGCCTGTTAGCTAATATGTATACTTATACGTACTGCACACCATACTAATACGTATTGCGCGTTCTAGTCTATCTAAATGTTAGCACAAAGCTTTACAGTTGAATGGTAGTATGCTTACTCTTGTTCACGCGTGCTAAGTATCCCACAATGCTTTGCAAAGCTGAAGTCAACTTTGGCACTAGCAAATACAAAATTTGTCAAAATCAAAGTACATTTGTTCTCAGTCCTAGTACAAGTACCATTCCACCCAACTGGTTTGGAATGTAGTATGCAAAACAGAGCAAAGAAAAGTACAGCCCAGAACAAGAAGTTAAGGAACTGTTACACCCAGTGGGCTGGATTTAGTGACATATAGAGAGCTGTGTAACTTGTAAAGTCATACTACAAATCGCTGAAATGCAGATCTTTGAAGCATACCTTTGGTGTAAGGGGAACACGCTGCGAGACAAGAATTGCTTCCTGAAAGAAGGGTTCGTATGTCCCCTTTTCATACTGTATTGCTTTGCCTTTAGACAATGAATTTGGCTACATTCAGTTATTTGGTCTCTTGAACATTTTTTTAAGACCGAACCGTGATTGTAGCCAAACAATTAGCTGCACTTTTCAGTCAACAAGCCCAGAACTCAGAGATGGCTTTTTCCTGGTGTCAAAACTCCTGTGCTTTAGCAGAGAGAGCCCCAATGTGACTGGCCGCCACAGGCTTGTCAGACTGGGACAGCCAGAAGGAAATCCGATCAGATCCACGTGGAGACCAAATGCATGGGGCTGAGGGTCTGTACAAACAGCCTGCCCAGCCAGTGGGTCTGTTGCCGGTAGTCTGGATGCAGGATGGTAGGTGTTGGATACAGGGCTAGTTCCCCCCACACACCCCCAAAGTCCCACTTTCCCCATCATGTTCCTGAAAAGGCCTGCAATTCTCACACATGATCCCTCCACTTCCCCCTTGCCTCTCCCTATAGTCCCCCAGACATCTGAATTCCTCCCCCTCAAACCGGATCTCATCCTCCCCACACTCCTCACAGCTGACTCCCCTCACGGTTCTCCTCCCCACCACTTCCAACCCCCACAAAACTCCAGTTCCCCCTTAGCTCTGACGCTCACACACAGCTCAGAGACACTCCCAACTCGAGGGAACCAGCCTCAGCTCTGACTCCCCACAGCAACCCTGCCCTCAAAAGACCCCTTTCCACCTGCTCCGAACTCGCCAGCTCCCCTACCCCAACACTGCTCCACTTCCCCCACAACTGGGATTCTTCCCACTGCTCCCCAATACCCACCGAGCCCGCGTCAACATTCCCACCATCGTTAGCACAACTCCAGTTGCTCCCCTGGCATCTGCATGGCTCCAGATAGTGCTCCCAAGCTCCCCATGTGCATAGGTCCCTGCAGAAATACCTCCCCTCCTGTGCCACACGTGCCCTACAAAGATCCATCTCCTCCCACCACGGCACAGCTCCATTAACCTCACACATCCTTCCCACTAATTTCCCCCCTTCTCCCCAGCAACTACACCCCCAGCATTGCCCCTCCATGCAGTCGTGCCCCCCCCCCGCCAGAGGTCCCACCCCCCTTCCCCAATACCCACAGCTTCTTTCACTCTGCCACACGATCATGTGTGTTTGGCCACCCAAACAACATTAGGAGAACGGACCCTTGATGTCTCCTGCGGGAGGGCCAGGCGGCCATTTCTCGCCCTTCCCTCCCACTGTCCTGTGGAGGGCTGGCAGGTACGCCTCCCCCAAATTTTGCTCGTTGGGGAATCAAGAGGAGGGGGCTCGCTGTTCGTCTCCGTCTCAAGGCCAGGAACCAAAATCTCCTCCATGGCCTTCCTCCCCGTCGAAATCCTGGACTCTGGACCAGCACTGGGCTGGCGGGTTCTATGGACAATCCAGGTCCATTGATGGCCTGGAATCCTCAGTGCCAGAACCCTGATCAGTACGGGCCAGAGCTCTGCCAGGGGATGTACCTGCCAGGCTCTGGTCCCACCGGGAGGAGAGGGCAGCGATCCCTTCCCACGAGATTTCCTGTCCTTGGATTGGGGGGCATAGGGAGGGGGGGCAGGGCCAGCTGGCCACCCCCAGGAGATTCCAAGTTTGAGTGTGACTGGGGGACTCCTTTAGTGGAGAAGTGGGGGAGAACTCCTGGGGGGTGTGGTGGTGGGGGGGGGGGAGGCGAGTATAAAAGCAGGCAAGATGAGCTGTGGAGGTAAGAGTAGTGGGGGAAGGGGAGGCGAGGGGTAACTGGCGAAGGGGTGGGGAACAACGAGA